GTTAGATCAACTTCTAAAAGCATTTTATCAACTCATCTGGCTGGAATGTTTAAAAAACTTCAAACACTTCTCCTGAATAACAAAGGTCCAGGGTGAATATATTTGGCCAGTAGTGTGCTTTGATGAAGGGCTACAAAGTTTGTTATATGATATATACTTCGATTAGATTTTAACGTCACATGAATCAAATGTTAATTTGTTTTTCTTGGTAACTAAAATGCTCAGGATGATGATATTTGGTCTGTTGCCCAATTTAGCCTGTTTTAGTATGTACACGTTTGGTCCTAATTGAAGGTTACAGGTGTGAAATGTATACCAGGTGGGCTATTCAGGCCCATAGGGACTCTTGTTGAATTTATTATACACTGTCATATTTAGCACCACATTATTTTTGAAAAATTGATAAACTAGGGCAGAATATATGTGAGAAGACATATTTACTTGGAAGCCCTTGATAAATTACAAGAAAAATAAGACCAGATGTTCTTGAAGATATTAAAGTCTTCTGCTGCAGATCCGCGCTATCACAAGGAGGTAAGCACGCCAACATACCCTGTATCCTGCATACACACACGCAAGAACGCATACACTACACACATGGAGGCACGTCCTGAAATGACCTTAGCTGTTAATAGGAAGTTAAACAAAATGAAACAAACTAAACCAAACCAGAGATGACCCGGCAATGTATATCTAGGAATTGCACAATCTCCTCTGTTGTCTATGGTTTGATGTGTGCTCACTGTGGTTTGATATATATTGGTCAAAACAAAAGGGCGATTACAACACATACTACATATTCATTGTTCGGTAATTAACCGTGAGGAAAGCAATGTTTATAAATAAATACTTCGACTCTCTGATCAATCTATTCTGTCTATGAAAGATCTAATCAAATACCCTATATGTGGTACCGCGTACTATAGACATATGAGAGGAATGATATTTAAGACTTCTTAGCACTGCAGCGCTATATGGCTGTAATGATTGGTTTGAATCTGTAGAATCTTTTTGCGAAGTTCAGGATGGAATCATATTAATGTGGTTTTTTTTTGTTCATTCTTCAAAAGAGACGTTAGTGTTATGGGCATCGCCAGTACAACTGTTCATCCGAATACACTGTTATATTTGAAGACGTAATGGAAACTAAAGAGAAACCAATGGATGTCCATCATGTTTGAACCACTGTATTTGATTCGTTCACGAATCTTTGCTTCGGTATTCTGTCGCTGTTCTTTAGAAATGTTTTTATTTTAAAACTCTGATATGCCTGAAACACCAGATAAATACATTAGATCGAATTCGCAAAGGTTTCCAATTGGTGTCCAACATGTTAGAACCCAACTGTATTCGCTGCATTTCTCTTTATTACGAACAATAACAGATTCTAGTAAAACTGCCCTTGATGACATTTGGAAACTAGATTAGACAAAATAACTGAGGATACCGAACAAAATCTACTATTTAAGCCTGTTCGCAGAGATAACCACCACGACTCTCGGGTAACGCGAATTGACATGAATGTTGAGTGTGCCCACATGGGTGTAGAAGTCATTAACATCAGTAGGATTCTACATCAAAACTCTGTCGAAGCTAGCACCTTACTTCAGACACAAAAGAACCCCATTGATCCTAGAATAACCCCCACTTCAGTATGCGCGTGTTCTACATACAGATACAGCTACACGATCGCGCTGGAAACATGGTGACTCACGATTTTAATATTATCCATAATGCAAAGCTTTTCTTGAGGGGCTCTAGCTAGGTATCGAGAGACTTCCTATTTATAACTGGAGCTGTACATTTAAAAATACTATGGGATTATGTGGAAGACTACGCCAGACAATGGGCATACCACTATTATTATATTAGGGCATGCTAAATTGGATTCACTTTACAGTGGGTCAAATTTATCAGGTCCATCATTCAAAATCAAATTCTCTACTTAAAATCCAAAATAAACACAATGTATATTTCTTGACTCCAATGTCCCAACCACACTTAACAATCTGCATAAGAAGTATGTAACATACATGATAAGTATTTAGTTGTGTCTGTGGACAAAGCATCTTATATTTAATCATTGTCTCAAATTTATTATATTTCTGCCTGCAAAAAGAACTAAGTATGCCTACCTATACATTTGCCGATCTTTCCGATATAAGAACATCCTCTTTTTTTTTCTCATACCAAACTTAAGAAGTGCCTTAGTTTTCTTATTATGAGAGTTCATTTTCAAGAAAGGCGAACAGCGATATAAAAAAAAATGGCTGCAAGCTATTTCATGAAAAACACAAAAATGGCCAAAATTGAAATGTATTGAGGACGGAATTGTGAGATTGATAGAGTTACTAGTAGATAATATGGTCAAACAAGAATAACATCAACACATATGTTTCCAAAGTGGGTGAGATACTTTGGCTTTCTCCCCGGGTTCACAAACTTAATACCAAATTGTCCCGCTCGCGAAATAGTTCTTTTCTCTTTCTGTCCTCTCCAGGAATACCTGCTAGAATCCGTTCTCCATCTGTACCGACCCTTTTTAAGTCCTGCTTTGCACCCATACAATGTGGGTGGTTTATTTTTTAGAATTGAAATTTAATGGAATNATTTCAAACCACATTTTTTTTACTAAAAAAAAATTTTGTTGTCAAATTAATGTGGATTCAGCTGCGTACTCGCGCATAGGCAGCTACGCGCCTGGAATTGATATCGTTTAACAATTCTTTCAAAACTATATGATATTATTAGATAGAGGTTTAAAATACAAATCTTTCAACAGATGCTAAGAGTAGCTTATTGGCAAAGAAAGCTATTTTCAATCTGCTATTAAGAAGAATATAATTTTGTTTTGTTGGAATAGGTACATGTAAGAATTGAAACGTCTATGTCATGAACAGTAGTATTTTTTAAGGTTTCCATCATTGTGGTCAAGGTCAAAGGTCAAATGTAAAAAAAAGGTTGACGTGGTCCAATTTTGATACAGATACTTACAAAGTAAGACGTCCATAACAGGGGCCGACCTGTGTTCTGGAAATGGGGATAGACGGACGAATGCACGGACGCAAAAAGCAAACACTATATACTGTAACACCAACTTCGCGAGCCAAGGGTGTTCAATACGATACTCTCTGTGAATAAGAGAGTATCGTATTGAACACCCTTGGCTCGCGAAGTTGCTGTAACACCGACTTCGTGTGAAGTGAAGGTATTAAAACACCTAAATAGAGATGTTTGAATTTTTTTATATCCACCCAAACACGTTTAATCTTCCATAAAAACGAGCAGCTCATTGATAAATTCAACAGATTAAAAATCATCCTTACGACCGAGTCAGTTATCTCATTACAGGGTGAATGTATTGTTTTACGTGTCTGCTATCGGGTCAGTATCGTCCTTAAAAAATCATACACATCACAAACATGATTGTTTTTTTTTTATTAGATTAGTGATTGCACATGCACAGCAATACATCATTTTGCATTAGTTAATGTGTCTACAGGTTGACAGACTAACACACAGGAACAGTGAAATATGATTCTGTTTATGTCTACCAAGTGTCAAGGTAAGTAATCAGATGGAAAACGAAGGCTCAATATGGACTAGATTCCTAAACTCAAAGTACAAAATCGGCAAAAACGTTAGATAATCACGGTATCAGAAAGCAGTTATCAAGAGAAGTTCAGCTGTGTCTAGGCCTAGTGTACATGATACAACATGATGGAAGTCAACTCTAACAAGTGTGGAGGAAGTTGACAGGAAACTAAAGTAGTTGTCACATTCAGACAGGTATATATATTATAGGTCATGTTATACAGCACAATTGTTAAATGTGTGCTTAAATATATATCTTAATCTATCTAAATGTAAAAGGAAGAAAACAAAAAAAGTAGAACAAATTATGTGAGGACATTTTGTCATTTATTTTGAAAAATTATAATGTACCCTATTCACCATAATTAGCGCCCCTCCCCTATAAGCACCCCCTTTCTTTTCGGGAGGAATTTAAATCATACCAACCACTTCTTTCTCTTAGACCTGATCAGGCCAAGTCAATGATTTACAGTACTTGCACTTTTAAGCAGTGATTTATGTCTAGTGATCAAGGCTCAACTTCCCATGAAGCGGATGAAACATTTGATATTCACACCTTCAACCACACTAGAATATATTTAATGTCCTACTGTTATACTGTAGCAACTGTTGAAGTTGAACAACTTGTTCTGNCCCCCCCCCCCCCCCCTCCCCCGCGTTAATTATCGAACTGCCCTGGGCGCTGATTACAGGTACTCGTGGGGTGATCACAATAACATCATAGCACTGGTTATAACCACACTTCAACCAGCGACATAAGTATACATACTTAATCACGTTTATATACTGTTGGTCTCTTGTAACACTGATTATATTTAAGTATATGGTAAGTTTAATAGACTTTATGATAAAAAATATATATAACCAAACAGTACAAGGTAGTAAATTCTGTTAGCAGAAAAACATCTCATTACATACACTAGATATTCATTGTAAAGCTTCACATACAGAATAAGTTGAGGACAAGGTGTTGAGGACAAATCATGATGATGTAAAAATGATTAAAGAAATTGAATACACTTCATCTTCAAAAGGGACAAATGAAAACAGGTCAGACTGGAATTTTAATGCAGAAACTCAAGTTCTTACATTTTCTGACCAATCAAACAGCCTCCAATGGCAATCGACCCAAGGAAACCACTAATCTGTTCCGTTCTTTTCTAGACAGCACTGTTCAACCACAAGGTTCAGATATACCCTAACTAGCCATGCAGAGTGTGTAACAAGGTTCAGATATACCCTAACTAGCCATGCAGAGTGTGTAACAAGGGTTGTGGACCAAACACTTCAGTAATGAAACACATTTTAGTGTCAAATTTTGACCTTTAGCTATAATTCATCTTTTTAAGCCATTTAATGGTTTATTAACTTTAATGATAATAATTATATTGCTGACGCTGTACATACTAAAGCATTAGGTGTATCTCATGGCTTGTGGTTGTGGTGACACATGTACAGTAGTAGTTGGAGTAAGTACAGTAGTAGTTGGAGTAAGTACAGTAGTAGTTGGAGTAAGTACAGTAGTAGTTGGAGTAAGTACAGTAGTAGTTGGAGTAAGTACAGTAGTAGTTGGAGTAAGTACAGTAGTAGTTGGAGTAAGTACAGTAGTAGTTGGAGTAAGTACAGTAGTAGTTGGAGTAAGTACAGTAGTAGTTGGAGTAAGTACAGTAGTAGTTGGAGTAAGTACAGTAGTAGTTGGAGTAAGTACAGTAGTAGTTGGAGTAAGTACAGTAGTAGTTGGAGTAAGTACAGTAGTAGTTGGAGTAAGTACAGTAGTAGTTGGAGTAAGTACAGTAGTAGTTGGAGTAAGTACAGTAGTAGTTGGAGTAAGTACAGTAGTAGTTGGAGTAAGTACAGTAGTAGTTGGAGTAAGTACAGTAGTAGTTGGAGTAAGTACAGTAGTAGTTGGAGTAAGTACAGTAGTAGTTGGAGTAAGTACAGTAGTAGTTGGAGTAAGTACAGTAGTAGTTGGAGTAAGTACAGTAGTAGTTGGAGTAAGTACAGTAGTAGTTGGAGTAAGTACAGTAGTAGTTGGAGTAAGTACAGTAGTAGTTGGAGTAAGTACAGTAGTAGTTGGAGTAAGTACAGTAGTAGTTGGAGTAAGTACAGTAGTAGTTGGAGTAAGTACAGTAGTAGTTGGAGTAAGTACAGTAGTAGTTGGAGTAAGTACAGTAGTAGTTGGAGTAAGTACAGTAGTAGTTGGAGTAAGTACAGTAGTAGTTGGAGTAAGTACAGTAGTAGTTGGAGTAAGTACAGTAGTAGTTGGAGTAAGTACAGTAGTAGTTGGAGTAAGTACAGTAGTAGTTGGAGTAAGTACAGTAGTAGTGAAAACCTGGGTAGGTCAGTGAGTCGCACTCATTGGTTCACGATCAGTGACATTACACAATATACATAAACATAGGCGATCAGTGACACATGGCCTATCCTATTATACAACATATAAACAATTTAGAATGCTCAAAATATTTGGTTTAAATCAACAAATTAAAGAATATGATGTACTTGTTAGAGCAACAAAAAAAGAATAATCTGTAGATCATATCACAAAAAAATTTAATACTATTAAAAAAAATCAGCAATAATAAAGATTGAATTGCAAAAATATAATAAAAGAATCCTCATTAACTACAGTGTAACTAGTTTGTCTATTAGGAAAATACATGCAATAGATCTACTTACTATGTATAGGTGATACATGATAAATAGGATGAATTATCTCCCTTGTCAATTTCGCACACCTGATGATATAAGTAAATTCATTGTATATTGGAAGAAGACATTTAGTTGCTTTGCCTGCTGTCTGGCTCATTAATTTCTCGTTAAAAACAATGCTGAATTGTAAATGAACTGTTTAGGAGATTCAACGAAATGTTAATTGAACTCTTTAACATACGTTTGATGAGAACCTGCCCTTGTAATTCCACACAAACAAGTGACTAATACATTGTAAATAAAATGTAAAATTATATGTAAACAAGCTTGGTGGTGAATGTAAAAAGCAAAAGTATAAATCAAATATATTATGAAAAACGAGTTAAATTACTATTTCTAATTAATTAATTAAATTAATAAAGATGAATGTCAACATTGGCAACAAAGTCAATATTGATAACAATTTAAGTTCACAAGCAGAAAACTGTAAACACAGTCAGATGTACATAACAATATACAACATACACACATAACAAGATCAATTGTTTTTGTGGTTGAAAAAAAAATCAGACAACACATACATTGTCAACAAAAAATAAGGCCCAGCTCACCAGTAAGGCAGGGGTTTTCGCTACCTGAACAACAAAAATTATGAAATGTTTCTGACAACCTTCTTCTATTGTGGCTACCTTAATTTTCTTAATTAGCTAAACAATTAAGATAACAACACATTTTTACTCATTCACCCCTGAAATTTCATAATGAACTATATTCCAACCTTTGAATTAGAAGAGTTCAAATGTGTCTTCAGGGCTGAATGAGTTAAGAGAATTTCAGAATCAGCCAATGAAAACATCAGCAAAATATATATTCAAATGCTGACCATCACTTTTCCAGCGCTTTGATTGGCTGACTAAATGTGTCTCATGTGACATACATTGTATTATGATTTTCTGATTACAGAACTTGTTTGTATCAACATCATAAAATAGATTCAATCACAACAGGCGAAGAAGCAATAACTTATTCTTGTAGTTTATTAGAAGTGTCGACCGGTTTCGCCCCTACAATACAGGTCGCAGTACAAAATTCTGGTATACACATACAAGGCACTGAATGGAACAGCTCCTCAGTACCTACAGGAACTTGTTACCCTGTATCAGCCGTCAAGATCACTGCGGTCGGAGTCAGAATCTTTGTTGTGTGTCCCAAAATCTCGTACTGTGACCTACGGAAACATGCTTTGGGAGGGTTTCGGCTACGTTGTGGAATAGCTTACCATCTGCTATTAGGAAGTCGAATACCCTGGCCAAGTATAAGAGGGACATAAAAACTCACCTCTTCACGTCTGCATTTTAGACTCTTTGCAAAGACGTCATGTAAATACCACCCTTTTATTTGTTCAATTATGGGCACATTGCTTGTTAAATGTATGAAAGTGATTGCAAGCCTTTGTTGTTTGTTTTCACAATTATAACCATAACTATTATCCATATGTTGTAAAGCGCCTTAGAGTAGTTTTACAAATCATATAGGGCGCTATATAAATGCTGTATATTATTATTATTATTACAATAGGCTTCTTCAGGACAAAATTATAGGATATTTCTACCCCTGAAGTACTAAAAACGTGGGCACATACAATTGTTCTACATATATATATATATATATGTATAAATGACATCATTAACATTGGCAGAAATTGTGACGTAATAAACAATAGGTAGTATTGTGACGTCATCAATAGTTAGTACAAAAGATAGATAACTCTGTTAAGTCATCTAAAAGGACATCAATAAAAATGTTGTCTAGTGGGACATAATAGTTAGAGAATGCAAACTCTTTACATACTGAATAATACATTGGTAGGTTGTTTGTATCAAGTTTCATGAGAGAAAACATTTCCATTTCTAGATGCACTTTATAAGGAAACTAACAAAAGTAACCTGTTTCCCCACCCTCACAGTTCTAGAAATGAGCATGTTTCCCTGGATTTAACATAACCTTAACAACATAACTGACATCAGTCAGAGATCTGAGCTGACATCAATCAGAGACCTGAGCTGACATCAATCAGAGATCTGAGCTGACATCAATCAGAGATCTGAGCTGACATCAACATAGCTCTAAGCTGACATCAACAGAGATCTGAGCTGACATCAACAGAGATCTGAGCTGACATCAACAGAGATCTAAGCTGACATCAATCAGAGATCTGAGCTGACATCAACAGAGATCTGAGCTGACATCAACAGAGATCTGAGCTGACATCAACAGAGATCTAAGCTGACATCAATCAGAGATCTGAGCTGACATCAACAGAGATCTAAGCTGACATCAATCAGAGATCTGAGCTGACATCAACAGAGATCTGAGCTGACATCAAACAGAGATCTGAGCTGACATCAACAGAGATCTGAGCTGACATCAACAGAGATCTAAGCTGACATCAATCAGAGATCTGAGCTGACATCAACAGAGATCTGAGCTGACATCAAACAGAGATCTAAGCTGACATCAACAGAGATCTGAGCTGACATCAACAGAGATCTAAGCTGACATCAATCAGAGATCTGAGCTGACATCAATCAGAGATCTGAGCTGACATTTTAAGATATCTTAATTCAACTGTTTCTCAGTACAGTACATACATATGTTGAGTATTTTTTTATGGAAATGCTTATGCTTACAATAGTTAAGTTCACAGTTTTGTTAAATCTTGCTGTCACATGACTAATTTGATTCATCACCCTATGAACTTGATTACATGTATAACACATTTCAAGTTTTTAATGACACATCATGTCTAATTCAAATTACGGATATTTTCGTGATTCTTTTTTTGTTATTAAAGAAAAAAGAACTGCTAAGCATGGATTCAGAGAAAATAAGATAATAAGATTATACAATTCAATGTTTTCACTTTACAATAGAAAAATATTCAATTTGAAACATTGGATTCCATAAATGTCATTCTATACTGAACTTTCATACAAATGAGCTATTTTGACACACTTTGCTACAAATGACCATAACTTGGGTCTTACAGAAAGTTGACAGCACTTCTTCAATGTTCACTCTCTCACTAATACACTTATAATTACAAATAATAATGACATAAGTTCACATTAAATTCTACTTGAAAAAAACATTTAGAAATAAAGTTTGACACGTAAAACATCAGGCCATCATTTGAATGTACACTTTATTTTTGATATAGCTGCATTCTAGGGAAATATACCTTTTTTGTACATAAATCTTGATATAACAGAGAGATTGACATACTTGTATACCTCCATACCTGATCATTGTATCACATGCAAGTGATAAAATCCATAGTTCACCAAAAAAAATCATGAAAGAACAAATTTAATCAGGAAGTGCAAAATACATGAAAATCTAACTTTGGCAGATGCTGAAAAAAATATTGGAAATATCTGCATTGTAACGCTCCTGTATGTTTTCTCTAGCTGTCTTAAGAAACATTTTTTGTGCCTTAACACACTTATTCCTTGTCTAACGCGGCTGTGATAGCAGCAGCTTTTAGGGCCTGGTCGAGGTACTCCATAAAGCGCTGGACGTCTTGGAATGAACAATACAGAGGGGCCGGGGACACTCGGATCACTGACGGTTTCCTCTCGTCACACTGAAATGTAGGATGTATAGTCTTTATGTCAGCCTAGTAAAATACTAGCCATTAACTTCTGTGTAAAAGATGTGCATTGATTAGGTTGTCCTACAAGCGTCAGCTGTAGAGAATTTCCCTTTAGCTCAGTGGTAGAGAATCGGTCCGGAGAACCAAGAGTCGCGGGTTCGAGCCCCAGCGACGGCACTATCTTTATCACTATTCCTCGTCCTATTACTTCTGAATTTACTAGGGAAATTATCTCTTCAGCTCATTCCGTTGAGCTTCAGATGAGTAAACCAGTGGTCCCAGGTCCCTCTCTTATTGGAGGGAATGAAAAATTACTGTGGCACTCATGTAAGATCCTGACTTATGTAAGATAATGTCTACCTTGTATATCTCAAATACCAAGTGTCCTATATGTGTAAACTGAGTCTGATTTCATCTGTGAACAAAAGATAGGAGTGGATATACATCATATGTACTGAAAAATGCAGCAAATATACATACTTTTCTAATTGCAAATTACATAAATAGAAATACAAAAATATTTTATTACTTACAATTACTCCCCTTTTCTCGAGCTCTTTGAAGACGTAAGAAATGTTGACAGAAAATGAGAGAGACAGCTGGGCACCCCGCTGCTCTGGATCAGACGGAGTGAAAATGTGTACATGTACATGTTTAAAGTCCCCGTCTATCGGCTCTAGAGTCCCTTCTGCTATCCCATTGGTCTGTCCATACTTTTCTACGATACAGTATTCCAGGTAGGCTGTCAATAACTTTGATTTGGCTCGTATTTCCTCCATAGAAGTCTTGTTGAATATCTAAAACATTTCAAATCATTACTGGTTTTATCATCTGTGTCAAATTTAACATAAATAATAACGATATATCAATTATTGACATTATTATCTTTAGGATTAGGGGCAATCGATATCTTGGTTCAAAATATTTACCTGCAACAAACAGAGAAAAAACAAAACATGTCTGTATGTCAAACACAATAACATAGAGCGGGTTTTCACCAGATTGAAATCTTATCTCAAGACTGTATCTAGGGTATGATTTTATTGCTCAACCTGTATGTGGAATATAACCTTACATCTAAGACTGCATGGAGAATAAACATGGTCAAGTAAATCTTACTTCTCAGACTGTATCCAGAATATAATATCGATGTTTTACTTTATACACAAACAATGTACGTATAAAACGTGTCGCAACGTTTCAAGACCGACTGGTCCCTCTGTCACTCAGTCATAACTTGACAAAGGGACAAGTTGGTCTTGAAACGTTGTGACACGTTTAATACCTAAATTATTTGTGTATAAAGTAAAACTTTGATATTACATCTTTCCAAACTGATGAATGTTATTGAAGATGTTTATCTAGATTATAATTTTAGATTTTGACTGTAAACTAGAGTAGATTTTACACTGGATATCTCAGACAGTTATTGTTATTAAATTTTTTATTGACTTTTTCCTAGATATTTTGAGGATTTGACCAAATTAGATATTTTAACTGATGTAGGCATTGTGTGTTGTGTTCTACCTCAAGGCTGGCTTTGAGTGGTGGACACAGGAGACCGGCCGGATTACTGATTCTGTAACCATATGCCCCTGGACACAGGTCCAACTCTGGTAAATAAACAAATGATAAAATATAATTGATGATAGGTATTATATTAAATTTAATTCATCATTCTGAGCATCAATTTACTAATAATCATCCTGTGATTTTTTAGGAAGTTGATATTGAAATTTATCAAGTGACTTCTAGTGTACTGCATAATCTAATAGTTAAATATTTGGCAAAAAATAAAAAATAAAATAAAGAAAAAATATAATCATTTGAAAAGGCAGATGACATTTTGTGAAAGGAGAATGAGCACTGTAGAAGTCTGTACCATTGTCCATGTTGAACCTAGTGTTGGGGTTGTGTCCCCACCAGCCTAACAGCTTAGGGAAGTCGTTGTGTTTATGTTTGTCATGGAGGAATATACAAGCTAGACAGCCAGCACTGGAGTTGATATACTGCAACAAATAGAACACTTATCAGTGTTAGTTCTAATTGATCAGATTCTCTAACTGTAGTTAAACATAATATTTCTATAATCAGAACATAAACTACACCGACTTACACCTATTGTTTGTCTTTATTTCAAACATGAGTATACATTTTTCATGCATAGCAACAGAAAAGAGTGTATCCACTGAGTGTAACCTGCAATCTCTAGGTTCCTAGTTTGACGTTCTATCACTGAGCTGAAGGGAAATTCCCTCAAGAGTGAAGCTCGAAGGCGACCGTAATCGTATGTACAATTAATATCTGCCACAGTAACAATGACCTTTACCTTTGACTCACGACCCTGAAACACATATTGTGGCATTCTACCTGTCTGGGAGTCTTAACTAGTCAGTATTGAGTCAACAGATTTCCTGGATGTGTGAGAGGCAGTCATAATTAAATGAGGTCAGAAGAGATGAGAACAGATTTTCAGTTGTCAGTCAAATGTTTCATATGGAAAACTGACCAAGGATAGGAGTAGTTGATTGAGGACAAATGAATGGGCGACATATTTACATAAAGACCACAATGTAACTCATATTATTACGGCAGACATCTGACGAAGACATAACTACAATATCGAAGATATCTAATGTGTAACTTGTGACTCACCTTATAGGTACACCAACAGGCGAAGTCAATATCCCAATCATGTAGGTATAGAGGCACATTACCAGCAGCATGGGCCAAATCAAACCCCACGTAACACCCCTGAAATAAAGCAGTTACAAGCAATATCAAACTGCATGTATCATACCTGAAATAACACAGAGGCAGGACAAATTAAACTGCATGTATCATACCTGCAATAACACAGAGGCAGGACAAATTAAACTGCATGTATCATACCTGAAATAACACAGAGGCAGGACAAATTAAACTGCATGTATCATACCTGCAATAACACAGAGGCAGGACAAATTAAACTGCATGTATCATACCTGAAATAACACAGAGGCAGGACAAATTAAACTGCATGTATCATACCTGCAATACTGTATACTAAAAGTTACAGGCCACTAGTACTGTTGTCTTCTGCTTCAGTCATTCAAAGAGGTTGTGGTGACTCTTGTTGATTTTTTAGAGAAGCTCCAAATAAGGGAAATATGATCAAGGAAATTTGAGTGCATTAGGGTGACATGATGTTTTATTGCCTCCTCATGTGACCATTATCATCCAATCAGACACTGTTATAAAGATGAGGTATATAGTTATCATTGACAAACCTTGGCGTGGCCAGCACGTGTAATCGTCGGCATATCCATCACTTGTCCTGTGTAGTACTGCACTCCACTAAAACATATAACAGCAATAGACTCGCCTTCCTCTTCTATTTTCGCCAGGATGTCCTCTGACCTCAGTGTCATCTCGCCCTGAAATAACGTGGTGGCAACTGTTTCATTAATAAAGTTTTAAAAGGATCAATAAGGCATAACGGATAAAATGTCATCCTAGATACTCCAGGGGTTTAAGCTCACTTACACTCTCTGCACACCTGGAATCATCCTCAAAACTTCAGGGTTACACTCTCTGCACCCCTAGAACAGGTCATAGCAAAACTGAAGGCACACTGTTAGCTATTTGATTGATCTCAGGTAAAAAACAAGAGGCCCAGAGGGCCTGTATTGTTCACCTGGTAATGTTAGCAAAATTGAAGTTGACTGTTGCTAAAAGTGTACATGTATTTATACATGGTTAGTCAGGGATTATATTTATATGCAATTGGACAAAATCCTGTCATTCCTACAGGAAAAGGAGGATTTGAAGAATTTGCTATGTTTCCTCTATTGGGCCCCGCCCCTCTGCCCCCAGGGGGGGGCACACCCACTGTTTAGACAAAATTGAATCCTTGCGGCTAAAAGATGCTCCAGACTAAATAAGGATAAAATCCCTTAATCCCTACGGTAGAAGAAGTTTTACCTCTATTTCCCCTATAGGGCCATGCCCCTCTGCCCCCAGGGGGGCCACACCCACCATTTATCCAAAGTTGAGTCCCCTTGGCCTAAAGGATGCTCCAGACCAAATTGGGATGAAATCCCTTTATCCCTATGGTAGAAAAAGGATTTTAAAGGTTTACCTCTATTTCCCCTATTGGGCCCATTAAATAATAAATGCCCCTCTGCCCCCAGGGAAGGGGGGGGGGGGGCACCCCCACTGTTTATACAAAATTGAGTCCCCTCGGCCAAAGGATGCTCCGGACTTAATAAGGATAAAATCCCTTAATTCCTACAGCAGAAGAAGAATTTTGAAAGTTTTACCTCTATTTCCCTATTCTACCCCACCCCTCTGCCCCCAAGGGGCCACACCCAATGTTTATACAAAATTGAGTCCCTTTATCCAGAGGATGCTCCAGACTAAATTTGGATAAAATCCCTTAATCCCTACAGTAGGAAAAGGATTTTAAAGGTTTTACCTCTTTATCACCTATTCTACCGCGCCCCTCTACCCCTAGGGGGGGGGGGGCCACACTCACTGTTTATACAAAATTGAATCCCCTCAGCCAAAAGATGCTCCAGACTACATAAGGATAAAATCCCTTAATCCCTACGGTAGAAGAAGATTTTTTAAGGTTTTACCTCTATTTCCCTTATAGGGCCACGCCCCTCTGCCCCCAGGGGGTTAAAACTGACCATTTATACAAAATTGAGACCCTGTGGCCCAAGGATGCTCCAGAATAAATATGGATAAAATCCCTTAATCCCTACGGTAGAAGAAGGTTTTACCTCTATTTCCCCTTTTTGGCCCCGCCCCTTTGCCCCAGGGGGGCCACACCCACAGGTTATACAAAATTAAGTCCCCATGATCTAAGGATGCTCCAGACCAAATTGCATAAGCTCACTTGCCCTTCGTGCAGGTGAGCTAAAATCTGACCAATCGCGAGGCTGATACCTGTCCTGTACAGAGGAGCAACACCTGACTTCAAAGCCAGACAATTCTACTGTTACTCTGAAGAGACGTTCCTCTGATGTACATCAAAGAATCAAACTAGTCTCCTTATCTACAATGTGGTGCACACTGAGCCTTCGTGACATTTTCCAAAGGGTGCATAGAGTGTAAGTGAGTGTGATCCCTGGAGTATGAGGACGACAAAATGTAGACACAGACAGCTACTTTGAGATGGCAATAAACCAAAAATACATGTACAACAAAAATACATCAATATAGAAAAAATCTCAATCCAAACACTGTTTTGGAACAGACTCTGTAACAGTTATTAAACTCGTCAGTTTCGAAATTAGCATTTCAGAGCCCTAAAAGTAATGTAATGGGAACAGATATATCATAAAAGTGCAATAAAATAAATCCAAAGCAGTATATTCTTACCTTCCTTGGTTCCACACAAAGTAAACTTGTTTCTGGATCAAATCCATGTAGTTTTATCTGACTTTGGAATGTATACTGAAAAGAAAGAGAAACGTAAGTCAATATTTTAAATCTTTACATTGAATTGAAACAAATGATATGTATACTCAAGTGTTTCTGTAGTAGACTGAACTATCCTTATATAACTGAAACAGTACACAAGTGTAGTGTGCTTCCAGCAGGGATTGACCCCGCCACACCAGTTTCCCTGTCTGCCACTCTACTGATTGAACTACAGGGAAATCCCTCTATCGCAAAGATAGAAGGCGACTGTAATCCTATGTACAATTTAAATCTGCCACACATCTATCTTACAGGTTTACAATACATCATCATTACCTGATTCCTACCTACGAGGTAATCAGTAACTTAAATGATGAAAGATTTATTCAATTATCCAAATGTGTTGCTGGAAACACAAACGTTTTTCTTAAACGTAAATGGTTTGTCAGTGTTGTTTTGGTTGGGAGTTACACTGTTTTGGTTGGGAGTTACACTGTTTTGGTTGGGAGTTACACTGTTTTGGTTGGGAGTTACACTGTTGTGGTTGGGAGTTACACTGTTGTGGTTGTGAGTAACACTGTTGTCGTTGTGAGTTACACTGTTTTGGTTGTGAGTTACACTGTTTTGGTTGTGAGTTACACTGTTGTGGTTGGGAGTTACACAGTTTTGGTTGGGAGTTACACTGTTGTGGTTGGGAGTTACACTGTTGTTGTTGGGAGTTACACTGTTGTGGTTGGGTGTTACACTATTGTGTTTGGGAGTTACACTGTTTTGGTTGGGAGTTACACTGTTTTGGTTATCTTTCATGTCTCCTCAGTTTATGTTATTTTGGTGTCTTCTAAATTTCTGATATTTTGCTGTTTCCTTTAGTACTTGTTTTTTATATGTCTCATCAGTTCCTGTTTACTTTGAGTCTTTATTTTGTCTTTGAATACTGATGTATATTTTTCCTTTTTTTCAATTTTAGATAACATACATCAATGAAGTGTAACACTACTCTAGCTTAAGCTATCAATAAGCTTGATGTAGAATGTATCTTCAATATAAGTATAAACTTAGTTACATAGTGCAATCTACAACACTCGTTTAAACTTACGTGATCGGATGGAAATGCTTTACTCTCGCACATAATCTTGTGTCGCTTTGCTGTCGGGCGGTAAAAAGATATCTGGAATAGAGAACATGTCTTCCAATAATTAAATTTCATGTTTACAAACTTCAACTAAGTCTTAAGTCAAGTGTTAAAATATAGAAAGGAGTTATTTAACTTATTTCTATGATATAACAGGCTGTACTTGATGTAGCATAAATATTGTTCATTACTTTGATTAAATGTACTGTTGAATTTTGTTAGTTATCCTAGATCGAAATATATAATTTATGTGAATAATATTTGAAATGTTTGGAAAGCCCAGTGAAATTTGCCCTTACCAGTAAGAGGTGTAAGTTGACAGTAAGTCCGTTCATAATGGCCACCTCACCTGGTCTACCTCCTGTATATCATACCAAATATAGTAATGTATCATAAATTTAGCAGAGGAGTTTTTAATATATAACAAAATGTATAATAAAACACATTGTGATATTAAAAACAACAATGTGATTTAATGAATTCTTGGTGAAAGGCATTGAATGTGTCTATTTTCTATATTCTTTTTGACAAAATTATTTCTAAATGACTTTTGCTTAAACCGGTTCAATTGGAAAAAGCATGTAATAGCAATTCTTCTTGGATCTTCCAAACAGACAAAACAGTTATTAAGCTTGTTTTTTATTAAATTACTTTTGTATTTACTATATATCAGTGTTGGGAACAGTGTACTCAGAGTCACTTTGTCGTAAAAAATGGGAATACTCACCTACAAGTTTGGCCATGTCAGCGTCTAAGCACTCGTCACACTTGGCCCAAGGCATACCCTCACCCTGGAGATGGCCCTGGACACCACTAACACACGAACAATGTATAGTCATTATAACAAGCTATATCTAGTCATCACAACAAGAGGCCCATATGGCCTGTATCGCTCACCTGGATATTTGAGCAATAAATATTATTTAGCAAAATGGGTACAGGTGTAGTGAAAGTAAGATCCTAGGGCCAATCAAGGCAGTATTTGTATGTGAATCCAAATTTTCAGTAACTATATGAATATTTTGTTATAGGGTAGGGATCTCTAATATTTCCATGTAATGACCCAGGGACTAAGTCCCTAGGGGTAAGGACAGACCTCAACACCCATTCTGGTAGCATTACTGTGTTCATCTCTTCATGACCACCAATGATATATCTCATTAAGAGGTTGGGATCTCAACCATTTCCTTGATCTGACCAAGAGGCTAGGTTACTAGGGGTGAGGCAGCCCCATGTCCAATCCTGGTAGCATATCTGTATTCATTTTTTCATGGTTAGGGTATAATTATTAACAGAATTCATCGGCATCTTTTATAACTTACCTTAGAACAAGAGGCCCATGGGCCTTAATGGTCACCTGACATCCGATTCAAATTAGGACCGTCATCCAGGGACCAATTCATACTTTTCCGTCGGTCCGAGTGACCTTGCTGCATCGTCCATTAATTTTTCCTTGTGAACACAATAACTTCAGTAAATATGAACCTATTTTGATGAAACTTTGTATGCAGCTTTGTATCAATGAGATCTTGGATGAGTTTGAATACCGGACCAATTTGACTATAACTTACATAGTTATTCCCCTTGGAAATTCTATTATTGTTGGACTCTGTGAACACGATAACTGAAATAAATGGGTGTGACTCCAATTTTGACCCAAGGGGTCTGTTTTGAAAAAACTTGGTAACTGTATGTCTTCTGTTCTTTGTTAAAAGAAACAATTAAAAGTGTAAATCAATGATTTATTAAATAAGGCACAAAATTTTAATAGCACCTTGTTAGCAGCAAAAGTGCGTCATGAATGAAAAAAAAGGTGTACCACATGAATTTACATCTATTCTTGTGTAATGTCAATCAACATCACAGGGACAAATAATAATATAATGACAAAGGGCAATAACTCTGCAGGTTACCGTCAATTAATTACCGGACAAAGTTTCATTGAACTCCGTCAACATTTATTCAAGTTATCGTGTTTACAAGGTCCAATAATAGTATTATTACAAAGGGTAATAACTCTGTAAGTAACAGTCAAATAATTCCAAGTTTCGAACAAATCCGAGATCTTATTGATATCAGGCTACATACAGAGTTTCATCAATCTTGGTAGATATTTACTAAGTTATCGTGAACACAAGGTCCAATACAAAATAGTGTAATAATATTATTACAAAGGGCAATAACTCTGTAAGATACTGTCGAATAATTCCCATTTTCCAACTCATCCGAGATCTTATTGATATAAGGCCGCATACAAAGTTTCATCAAACTTGGTTGATAATTACCTCAACTTATCATGTTCACAAGGTCCAATAATAATATTATTACAAAGGGCAATAACTCTGTAAGTAACTGTCGAATAATTCCCATTTAGAGTCCGGGATCTTATTGATATATGGCTGCATACAAAGTTTCATCAAACTCGGTTAACATTTACTCAAGTATCGTGTTCACAAGGAAAAGTTAACGCACGACGGACGACGACGGACAAAAGGCTATCACAATAGGTTACCATGACCTATGGTCAGGTAACCTAAAATACCTGTTAACTATAACATTATTTATTATAACAATTTAACTTGACTGGCATCTTTCCAAAACATTAACTAATATTGAAACTGATTGCTCATTTAATGAGATTAGAATCTTAGGTTTTAAAACATTCTCATCTTGTGGTAAACATGTCCTTTTATTCCAGTGGGAAACTTTTCATTTTTAATTTGGCTTGAAAAGATTACCTCACAAGAAAAGGAAACAAATTTGTGAGGAACTAGTTAATTACTTAATCAGTTTTCGTTCAGAAATATGAAGTCTTACATTTTTGCCCATTTGTTGAGTTCCACATCCATGTACTTTTTGGTGTTTTTTGGACAAAGACCTAAAGAGTTCCCACAGAAATATACACAGTCCTCGTCAGGGTCTACCAAGCTCAGGTCCGCTACAATGGGAATAGGGAATGTAAGTGTTACTTTATATTAAGGTAAACTAGAGTACATATACACAGTCCGTATCAGGGTCTACTAGCTATAGACTCCGGTTCACTACAATGGGAATAGGAAATGGAAGTGTTACTATATATTAAGGCAAACTAGAGTACATATACACAGTCCTCATCAGGATCTACTAACAATAGACTCAGGTTCACTAAAATGGGAATAGGGAATGTAAGTGTGACTATATATTAAGGTAAACTAGTGTACATATACACAGTCCGTATCGGGGTCTACTAGCTATAGACTCAGGTTCACTACAATGGGAATAAGGAATGTAAGTGAAGCTATATCTTAAGGTAAACTAGAGTACATATACACAGTCCTCATCAGGATCTACTAACAATAGACTCAGGTTCACTACAATGGGAATAGGGAATGTAAGTGTTACTATATATTAAGGTAAACTAGTGTACATATACACAGTCCGTATCAGGGCCTACTAGCTATAGACTCAGGTTCACTACAATGGGAATAGGGAATGTAAGTGTGACTATATACTAAGGTAATCTAGGGTACATATACACAGTCCTCATCAGGATCTACTAGCTATAGACTCAGGGTCACTACAATGGGAATAGGGAATGTAAGTGTGACTATATACTAAGGTAATCTAGGGTACATATACACAGTCCTCATCAGGATCTACTAGCTATAGACTCAGGTTCACTACAATGGGAATAGGAAATGTAAGTGTTACTATATATTAAGGTAAACTAGATTACATATACACAGTCCGTATCAGGGTCTACTAGCTATAGACTCAGGTCCGCTGCAATGGGAACAGGGAATGTAAGTGTTACTATATATTAAGGTAAACTAGAGTACATATTCACAGTCCGTATCAGGGTCTACTAGCTATAGACTCAGGTTCACTACCATGGGAATAAGGAATGTAAGTGTAGCTATATATTGAGGTAAACTCAAGGGTCTACTAAGCTCTGAGGTTCGCTGCTGTTATACCCCCTGACACCTGATGTATCCGCCATGGCCTCAACCCCCTTGGATTGGCTATACAAAGCCTTAGGTTTTGTTAAGAAGTTCCTCTGCAAACTACTGTAGCATATTCACCCCTTTGAATTTTGGGTCTGGATAACCCATTATGAGATCAAAATTATAAGAGACTTATTTCCATTCTACTTATATACAAGACAATTTGTATAGGTCTGAGAAATAAACTTTTAAAATATTACAACCTGACTCCCGATTTGCTTCCATTATTGTGGCGAGCTCATATATCATCTGTATATCTCTGTCAGTCCGACTGACCTTTATGTAAAATGTCATCAGCTGACAGATAGTCAGTATACAATGTGTCACGTACTACAGCTATTACTACAGACAACAGGCAGTGCTGTATTTAGTTACAGCTATTACTACAGACAACAGACAGTGCTGTATCTAGTTACAGCTATTACTACAGACAACAGGCAGCGCTGCATTTAGTTACAGCTATTACTACAGACAACAGGCAGCGCTGCATTTAGTTACAGCTATTACTACAGACAACAGACAGTGCTGTATTTAGTTACAGCTATTACTACAGACAACTGCAGACAACACTGTATTTAGTTACAGCTATTACTACAGACAACAGGCAGTGCTGTATTTAGTTACAGCTATTACTACAAACAACAGGCAGCACTGTATTTAGTTACAGCTATTACTACAGACAACAGACAACACTGCATTTAGTTACAGCTATTACTACAGACAACAGGCAGTGCTGTATTTAGTTACAGTTATTACTACAGACAACAGACAGTGCTGTATTTAGTTACAGCTATTACTACAGACAACAAGCGGCGCTGTATTTAGTTACAGCAACACTAAACGCTGTACCTTCATAATTTACAAAGTCGTTTTTTATTTTTGTAAATACATTGTACAATTAATTAGAACAATTCATCTCTGAGCAGATTTTGTTAAGAACTCATAGCCATCAGTACACAAAATGTCACACCAACTCCAGTTTTAAATTCTGTGTATTATTTACCTTTCTCAAAATAACAGTTTTGTTTTAATTGATGAAAAGAATTGATCAATAATTCAAATACCTCAGGAATATATAAACAGAAATATTTAAACAACTGTTATGCCAACATTAATAAATTAAACAAGATTATTTACAGTTTCTGAACTAAGTGGGTAGGTATTTTTTTTGTGTCTAGAAATGTCATATTTCTATCCAAATATGCTAACTTTCAGTGATTTTCAGCAAAAAGTAATTTATCAACTGTTCCACCAAAACATTTTAAGTTGGTGCCATTTTAAGTTAGTCCGTCGGTAAACCGTAAACAATTTTTTTAAGGATATGGCTTTAAATGTCTCATGGTTACTCAACTAGAATTCTTGTTGAATAAGTCATTGTAATCACCACAAAGTTTGAAGACAAGGTGATTTACATCATTTGACATACATGCCATACTTAAGAATTTGAGCACGAGACTCACGAAAATTACTAAAGAAAAAATCCTCAGGCATAGGACACCTTTAAAGTTGATATCCTATATCATATGTCACACATATAAAACAGGATCTTAACTTAGAATTTTAATTAAAGTTGATAAGTTCATTTTGGCTGACAAATATATGACACAAATGAATAATTAAAAAGTCTTACTTCCAAGTACCTCCTTCATTTTGGGGTAGTAGAAGTCCTGCCGTAGACTCTGAAGGGGGTCAATGTTGTCCATATGTTTTGCAAATTCTTTTTCTGTCATTTCACAATCAAGTTCTTTTGCGATTCGCTTGAGTTCATCACATGGATGGAGTGCATCTACTTTGGCTTTCTTTGCGACGCGACATCTCTCATCGTCCGACATGATCTCTGAAATGGAACATACATGTGTGAATTTAAAATTCTGACTAATGTTTAAAGAACTACAAGATATAATATCGCAACAACACCTGAGTCTACCAAACTGACTCTACATGTCACATCATTACATGTGGATCATTTTGTTTAAACAGAGTATGAATTATAATTCCGATGATTTTAAACATCATAATATAAACAAAAAACTGCCATTTACTTTCAATTTCTTTTTGTAATTCCTGCATTTTGTGAATGAAGTTATTCCGTGGCCTGCTGGGCGGCTGTCTAGTGGACAGTAATGTAGCTGTCAGGTACACAGAAGTTCACACTGACACACATACATGTATCAAGTTAGGGCCCAGTAACATGTGTTTCTGTAGCTTGTTAACATGCACTTGTATAGGAAAAATTTGAATCTACATTGTGTGTTACATTTCAAAATATTCCAAATCAAAAAGTACATTTTATATCCTATGATTTGAAATGACTGATATTAGAAAAGGTATCCAAACATCCATATATTTCCATATTAAAACACAAGGTAAATGAAGTTAAATTTTGTATTAAGCTAATACAGCTTTGTATGACCAGATAGAGGGTACACCAGATCATAAAACAGCCATGTGGTAGATATCCTTGTTTGTGCTCTTATCATTTATGTATATATATACATTGTATGTATAACTATATTATGTATGTGTAACCAGGTGAATTAACAACATTAATATATAGGATCTTACATGAGTTTCCATTTCATATGAGATTTATGAAACGAGCCTGAGAACTTTTCAATTTAGCGAGCTTCTGGTGAGCTAAAATAAAAATTTCTGACGAGTTTTATAAATTTCATATGAAATGAAAACGAGAATAAGATCCTTTTTATCACATAATCAAAATTGTGGCATCCATTCGTGTAAAACGACAATTTTCATGCAACCTTGAAATGTAAAAAGCTGCCATTTTGACTCCAGTGCGGTGTGTAAGTCTCTGTGACGTCATGTACTTGTCCTAGGCGCGACATTACAATTGAAACAATTGAAACTTACATCCAATCACAGGGCCGATAGGTCATATTACATGGGCAAATATGCAAAAAAATATGACATGGGTATATTCACTGGATAACACAGTACATTATATATGTGATAAATGTTTATATATAAACATGGCATTTACTTGCCTCTGGGTTTAATAAAGCCAGAACAAGCTACTGGTACTTCCCAGGCCAAAATATGTGTTATTTTCCCAAACCTGAAGAAAAAAATTGGGACCGACCTTCTAGTATTTATAAAAAATATTACCATGTTTTCCCATTTTGATTAATGCAATCACAGGCTGATGTAAAATTTAGGTAGAAAACCCACCACCTTATAAACAGTGTTCATTGTTCGTGTGACCTTCTTGATAAATTTTTATCAAACTGGAGCTAAACAAAGAAAGATAGGGATACTTACTGGTTAGATATGTATCTAATATTAGTATACATGTATTCTTACTTACTTAATCCTATATTATATTATTATATAATATTATATGTCTAATTATATCTCAGATAATCTGATATAAATATTTACCTTCTTCCTTGTGGGGATTCAAAGTCTTATACAGATCTAGAGTTAGTATTAGCACAACTGTTTATAGTTCTGAATATTCCAATAATAAACAGAATGTATATTTTTAACGGAAAAAAAATATTGCAAACTGAATTATTGAATATTTTACATTATATTATCAGAAATCAATACACCACAGATGTTAATGTCCTACAAAATGTTACCTGGTAAATAGAAAAACTCACTGTATAACTGATAACACTTTGAAATTTCGCAACCAGGCGTTATTTTCAGCGTTATCTTGCCTTTTTGCACTATATGTTTATCATGTGCGTTCAGAGTTGCAACAAATATTGACTACAATTCAGGACTGTGATCATGATTGGCTGAACACTTAAGTTTAAATAGTTTAGCCTGTCGTCACTAATGGACCTGATTTTGAATTATAATTGTAAAATCATGGCTGACCTTAGCTGTTGACACTCAGACAGCACTAACCATCATACAACATGTTTACTAGAAACAGCTAGTAGGCACTATGTTTCTACCATAAAACAATTTTCATGCATTATATTAGCAAATTGAAATGATGCTTTGGAAATTAAAAAATATATCACATAATCTGCATGGGTCAACGATTATGTTAATAAAATATTCTGAGCATTTTTTAAACTGGTGTAGCAAAACATCGACATATATATATCACTGTGTTCACATTGTCAAATTTCAGAAAGATTCGTCTTTCGGATTCCGAGCTAATCTCCAGAAACAAAACTGCGGACGGACAGAAGGACAAAGTGATTACTATATATTGCACACGCATACACATATCTCTAATGCAGGGTCCTAATAAGAAAATTTACCAAATTACTTAATTAATGGTTGCCATGACAACAGTGGTCCAATTTTAATGTACAAGCTTCAATAAGAATAACAGGATTGGTAGTGAAATATGTAGCAAGATTTCAAGAAATGCTATAGAAACTCACAGAAGGCCATCACAGGTGCTGACAGATCTAACTCTTGACCTTAAAAGTATGTTTGTGTTGCAGTTCCTGCAATTTTCAACATATTCAGAGAAAACATTGTTTGAACATGATCAATTCAACAAAACTTGCAGAAACTGCAACACAAAAATATATACTACAAAAGTCAACAGTAAATAGGAAAGTGTGGGAAATCAGTGTTTATAATCCAACTGTTTGCTCTGTATCAGTTCTAGCTGTCAGGAGACATGTACTCTAAACACCATTTTTCCAGACAGAGATAAAGGATATTTACCGTACAAGGTGAATAGTTACAATGGTATATAATTATAATATCAACAAAAGATCTAGAGATGAAAGTCTTTCATATGATATTGTGTAGACAGTTTATACGAGATTTCAACGAAATTTCAACATAATATGCTAAACTAGCACCATAAACAGTAATCCCCTGATCTTAAAACTTTGTCACGCTTTGATTATTTAATACACAGCTGTCACACAAGGTACCAATATAATGTTAAATGAAAGCGAGAGTTGGGTGAACTACTGTCCACAATAAGGATCAAACAACCATCCCACCCAATAGTCTCAGTCTACTGTCCACAATAAGTATCAAACAACCATCCCACCCAATAGTCTCAGTCTACTGTCCACAATAAGTATCAAACAACCATCCCACCCAATAGTCTCAGTCTACTGTCCACAATAAGTATCAAACAACCATCCCACCCAATAGTCTCAGTCTACTGTCCACAATAAGTATCAAACAACCATCCCACCCAATAGTCTCAGTCTACTGTCCACAATAAGTATCAAACAACCATCCCACCCAATAGTCTCAGTCTACTGTCCACAATAAGTATCAAACAACCATCCCACCCAATAGTCTCAGTCTACTGTCCACAATAAGTATCAAACAACCATCCCACCCAATAGTCTCAGTCTACTGTCCACAATAAGTATCAAACAACCATCCCACCCAATAGTCTCAGTCTACTGTCCACAATAAGTATCAAACAACCATCCCACCCAATAGTCTCAGTCTACTGTCCACAATAAGTATCAAACAACCATCCCACCCAATAGTCTCAGTCTACTGTCCACAATAAGTATCAAACAACCATCCCACCCAATAGTCTCAGTCTACTGTCCACAATAAGTATCAAACAACCATCCCACCCAATAGTCTCAGTCTACTGTCCACAATAAGTATCAAACAACCATCCCACCCAATAGTCTCAGTCTACTGTCCACAATAAGTATCAAACAACCATCCCACCCAATAGTCTCAGTCTACTGTCCACAATAAGTATCAAACAACCATCCCACCCAATAGTCTCAGTCTACTGTCCACAATAAGTATCAAACAACCATCCCACCCAATAGTCTCAGTCTACTGTCCACAATAAGTATCAAACAACCATCCCACCCAATAGTCTCAGTCTACTGTCCACAATAAGTATCAAACAACCATCCCACCCAATAGTCTCAGTCTACTGTCCACAATAAGTATCAAACAACCATCCCACCCAATAGTCTCAGTCTACTGTCCACAATAAGTATCAAACAACCATCCCACCCAATAGTCTCAGTCTACTGTCCACAATAAGTATCAAACAACCATCCCACCCAATAGTCTCAGTCTACTGTCCACAATAAGTATCAAACAACCATCCCACCCAATAGTCTCAGTCTACTGTCCACAATAAGTATCAAACAACCATCCCACCCAATAGTCTCAGTCTACTGTCCACAATAAGTATCAAACAACCATCCCACCCAATAGTCTCAGTCTACTGTCCACAATAAGTATCAAACAACCATCCCACCCAATAGTCTCAGTCTACTGTCCACAATAAGTATCAAACAACCATCCCACCCAATAGTCTCAGTCTACTGTCCACAATAAGTATCAAACAACCATCCCACCCAATAGTCTCAGTCTACTGTCCACAATAAGTATCAAACAACCATCCCACCCAATAGTCTCAGTCTACTGTCCACAATAAGTATCAAACAACCATCCCACCCAATAGTCTCAGTCTACTGTCCACAATAAGTATCAAACAACCATCCCACCCAATAGTCTCAGTCTACTGTCCACAATAAGTATCAAACAACCATCCCACCCAATAGTCTCAGTCTACTGTCCACAATAAGTATCAAACAACCATCCCACCCAATAGTCTCAGTCTACTGTCCACAATAAGTATCAAACAACCATCCCACCCAATAGTCTCAGTCTACTGTCCACAATAAGTATCAAACAACCATCCCACCCAATAGTCTCAGTCTACTGTCCACAATAAGTATCAAACAACCATCCCACCCAATAGTCTCAGTCTACTGTCCACAATAAGTATCAAACAACCATCCCACCCAATAGTCTCAGTCTACTGTCCACAATAAGTATCAAACAACCATCCCACCCAATAGTCTCAGTCTACTGTCCACAATAAGTATCAAACAA